GCCAACAGTGGATGAACCACTTCACCTGTCTTGCGGCCTGTCTTGCAGTGTGATGTGCTGGTTTGGAAGTTCCTCTGCGAGCCTAAACCCTAAACCCTAAACCCTAAACCCTAAACCCTAAACCCTAAACCTCTCGGATGTCTGAGGGAAGTCCAAGGCGGCGGCATCTCACAGCTGCGGCAAAAACACGCCCGAGCAATGGTCAATGCCAGGTCAGTTCCGAAGGAGAATAGGGGAGGCATCCCGAAACCCTAAACCCTAAACCCTTAACTCGAATGAAGCCCTAATTCAACCCTAAACCCCTAACCCGGAATAAACCCTGAGCCGTAAGACCTTTCAGCCGAATTAAAGCCTAAAGCCTTGAAACTTAGCCCTTAAACCTTGAACCTAAAACAAACACTGAGACTTGGGATGCTCCCCCCTTATACCAACAGTCCTCAATCGGGATTATAGTACCCCCTATTATAATCCCGATCAAGGACTGCTAGTATTAGGGGGAACATCCCGAGCTAAACCCTTAAACCCTGAAACCATGAAACCCTTAAACCCTTAAGCCCTTAAACCCTTAAGCCCTTAAACCCCTAAACCTTAATCCCTTAAACCCTAAACCCTTATACCCCTAAACCCGAAACCCCAAACCCTAAACCCTAAACCTTGTACTTGCAAAGTTGGCTGCGAGGTATATGTTTTCGCTGTACTCTTCGCTCACGTGGCCACATGGCTTGAACTCGGTCAGTGGTTGATCCCGAAAGCTTGCGCCCTAAACCCTAAACCCTAAACCCTAAACCCTAAACCCTAAACCCTAAACCCTAAACCCTAAACCCTAAACCCTAAACCCTAAACCCTAAACCCCAAGTCCTACACCCCAAAATCCTAGGCTGCAGGTCGCCCACCCCCAAACCTTATGGAATTCAAAGGAACCCGAAGATGATAATCCTTAGAGGCTGAGGTCTGAGGGTTTAGGGTTTAGGGTTTAGGGTTTAGGGTTTAGGGTTTAGGGTGCCATCCTAACCTGGATTCCCAAGCAAATCACCTTCTAGCAACAACCCACAATGCCCCAAGCGCGTACCCTTTAAGCTTCATACATCTTTGAATAGGAGAATCTGCGAGGGGGGAAGGTTTGCATACTACTGCATACCCCTTTCTTTCAAGGGTATCTAGTATCCATGGGGGTGTAGCTGAATATTTGCAGCTCCGCTGCGTGTTGCGATGTTGAATATTCCTTGGGGGGGTGATATATCCTATACTACCAATAATTCCGATTAGGGTTTTTGAATTGGCATGTTCCCCCTTATACTAACGGTCCTTATTGGGGCTCTAATAGGGGGTACTAGAATCCTTATCCAGGACCTCTAAGAAAAGGGGAACATCCCAATAAAGGAACCATTAAACTACCCTTTTGGGGTTAGGACCTCTAGGAAAAGGGGGAACATCCCAATAAAGGAACCATTAAACTACCCTTTTGGGGTTAACGTGGTCTCAGGCGGTTTGGTTTATTTCCTTCTTCTGGATGCTGCCAGCCCTTCCCCGACACACCTAAGCCCTAACACCCGACGGTTTAGGGTTTAGGGTCTAGTGGTTAGGGGTTCAGGGGTTTTGGGTTTTGGGTTTAGGGTTTAGGGTTTAGGGTTTAGGGTTTAGGGTTTAGGGTTTGGGGTTCAACGAACCCCATCCTCTAAGGGTCTAGGTTTGCGGGGTTTAGGGGTTTTGTGTTTAGGGTTTAGGAGCTCGATAAGCAATCAGGGAACAACACCTTGCAGTAAGCGGCCAGGTAAAGCACCTCGTTCCTGAATTCCCCCCCTCCCCCCCTTCCCCCACCCCATTTAGAAATAGCAAGCAAGCCCGAAAGCCGCAAACCCTAAGCCCCTAAACCCCTAAACCCCTAAACCCCTAAACCCCTAAACCCCTCTAAGCCCCTAAACCCTCAACCCCTACGCCCCTAAACCCTCAACCCCCGAACCCCTAAACCGAACCCCTCAACCCCCAAACCCGAATCCCTCAACCCCCTTATGGCTTGGGGCAGCCCAGTACCCTTTTCCCCTTTTTTTGGCCCAAGGTTCCCTAGCAAAGTAGCCAACCCCTAAACCCTAAATCCCAAACCCTAAACCCCAATCCCCAAACCCTAAACCCCAAACCCTAAACCCTAGCCCTAAACCCTAAACCCCAAACCCCAAACCCTAAACCCTTAAGGTGAACGACTACATCTCCGATCCAGACAACCCAGAGCTCCCGCCGCTGGATCTGGAGAGGAGCCAACGGACCCTGGGGCGCAAGTTGAGGGCTTTCTGGGGTTTAGGGTTTAGGGATAGGGTTTAGGGTTTAGGGTTTAGGGTTTAGGGCTTCGCCCTTTGCAGGGTCTAGGGGTTTAATATCGGACCTTAAACGGGGAAGAAGAAGAAGAGTGCGCCGAATGTAGCCCCTACTCCCCAGAACCAACCAATGTGCACCGACTCCGCGTTGGGCGCGGCGGCCTCCAGGTGCTACAAAATTGAAGAGCCCTCCATATTGGAACCAGCGGGGATCCCCGGAGGGGCTAAGAGGCAGGTGAAAGGGCGATATCAGGTACCCCTGTCCAAAGAAGAGCTCGCTCAACACAAGGGCGCCCCCACGTAGGTGACGCCCGAACATCCGGGGATTCCCGATAGGAATGCCCCACTGCAGGGTCGGCTCGTGGCCTTCCCCAAAGAGCGAGAAAAAGAAACAGAGGAGTCACAAGTCCGACCAAAGCGCCCCCTCCCTGGACCTCGCACCGTACGCGATAACACCAAAGGGGACCCCCTGTCCACACACACCTCGTGCACAGCCTGAAGGCAACTTAGGGTCGAGACCCCGTGCGCAAAACCCCCGCAGACAACCACGTGATAAGCCCAACCGCCGACCACACGGGTGGGCAAACCTCACTGGCACACCCGGCACACCACCAGAAAAACCACACCCAGCAGAGGAGAGGGAGACCGCACCATGTGCAGCCCCCCCCAACGGCCCCCGCGACAGCTTTAAGCCAGAGTGGCCGAGGATGACTGGCATTCTGCCCCCTGTTGACCCAGCAAAACAAATGACCCCAAGGACCAACACCGTGCAGAAGGGGGGTCCGACCATGTCGGAAGTGGATTAGCCCATGCTGCATCTCTCATATCGCGCTCTCACCCTGGCCCCAGCACCGTCACACCCACTGGTCCCGAGGCACATCATCCGCACCTAGCGCAAGCAAAAGCACACACACACACACACACACACACATCGCGCACAGCCACAAACCCTAACTAGTGCAGCAGCATGGTTGCCCGCGCGGCGGCCACGGGGAGGCCGACGCCAGTCGGTGCCGCGCTTAAACGGGGAGGCCTTGAATACCCCTTTAATATACCCCCTACAAAATCAGGGTAGAAAAACTTACAGGAGGCAAGAGACCATATTGAGGGCCCAAGAACTACCCACCCGAAGCCGACCCTAACCCCCAAATAAACCCTAAGCCCTGAACCTTCAACCCTCAACCCTAACTCCTGAACCCTAAACCCTAAACCCTAACTCCTAAACCCTAAACCCCAAACCCTAAGCCTCAGATGTTGGGTTTGTTAAAGCTCCACCCCGGCGAGAGAATAGTTCTGCTTTACACCAAACCTGGCCCTCCCACCCCCATGCTGAGGCAGCGAGTTAGGGTTTAGGGTTTAGGGTTCAGGGTTCAGGGTATAGGGTTTAGGGTTTAGGGTTTAGGGTTCAGGGTTCAGGGTTTAGGGTTTAGGGTTTCTGTTTAGGGTTTAGGCTTAGGGGTTTACGGTTTGGGCTACAGGGAATCCCTCCTGGGTCTCGAAAGTTACGCGACCTTTTGAAGGCTTTGCTTTGTTATTATTATTATTCTCATTATTATCATTTTTTTTTGGGGGGGGGGGTCCTCAGACACAAAAGAACCCGCACTGACTGGGCTGCGATTCTTTCTTCGCCTTTCGTTGAACTTTAACCTTGGAATTTTCACTTAGTAGAATATTAAAGTTTGACCTTTTTACCCCTTGGTTATTGGAGAAGTATAAGGATTAGGGGAACCTCGAATGCTAGATTGTAGGGTTCTTGAGTGGGTCCGGCTGCCGTGTGTGTAGTTTCGTTTTAGGTTTCCCAAATACTCCCCACTACTGCCCAAGCTTTTCGAAGGTTCCCGAGGTACGTGCCCCATCAACCCCTTAAGGACCCTATAACTCGAATAGAATGGGTTATACAGAAATAATATGGTGCCCTATGGACTATGGCAACTAAGCGTAGGTTCCGCCACAGCAACCCCCAGATGAGGTACTACTCTTCTTTGGTGGACACCATGATCAGCTTATTCATGTGCATTGTAAATGGAGCCGCTCGTCAAGAGTATTTTCAAATCTATAGCGAGAAGCTTCCCCCCCCCCCCCCCCCCCCCCCCCCCGAATTTCCAAAAAAAACACAAACATTCAAAAAACTCCTAGACCCTAAATTCACCCCCCACCCCCATAAGCACCTAGCCCAAGAAGAAATGTTAAGTAGATTGTGGGAGGGAGGAGGCCGTACCTACGTCGGCAAAACAATGGAACCCTAAACCTCGCAAACCTGATGGCCCTCCAGATCCTCCGACCCTACCTGAAGGCTTTACAGCAGTCCCTTTTTTGGTTTAGGGTTTAGGGTTTAGGGTTTAGGGTTTAGGGTTTAGGGTTTAGGGTTTAGGGTCTATAGGGTTTAGGGTTTACAGTAGGGTTTAGGGTTTAGGCTGTTACCCCCCAAAAGGTGCTACGTACGAGCTCTTAGGTAGACACTGAAATCCAAACTCAAGCCCCATGTGCTGGTCGATGGTTAGCGGTATACATGGTCTAAGCCTCCACCCAGACCCTAGGACAAGAGGATCCAAAAGGGTAGAACCCCCAAATAGTACCCGCTACTACTATTGGGCCGGCTTTTAGAAGCCTTGTAAGGGGATCTACTTTTTGGATCCTCCCAGGGGTCTGGGCAGCTATGCTTTACCACGCTGTAGGGTTGGTGGCTTTGGGCTTCCCGGCATAGGGCTCTTAGCTCCTAGGGTTTCAGAGTAGCTTTTAGGGTACATAAGTCATGAATGGGCTCTGGTTTAGGTTAGTTTCGGCTGCAGCCTACTTGGAGGTTCATGGGTACTTAGCACCCAGTTATAACTGCACTTCTGAGTCCCCTAAGTCCCCTAAGTCGGTGAGAAGTAGACTTGTACCTGGGGTTTCCAGTACCCTAAACCCTAAACCCTAAACCCTAAACCCTAAACCCTAAATGCCACGCAGAGGAGAGCGCTTCGGGGAACCATACTGGGAAACCTTGAAGGGTAGTGAGCCGTTGAGCCCCCCATTCTCCCGATTTCAGAAGTCAATGCGTTGGGATGTCCCACCAACAGTCCTTCATAGAGAGTATAGTAGGGGGGGGGGGTACTATCATCCCTCTTAAGGGCTGTTAGTTTAAGGGGGGAACATCCCAATCCATGAGTTTATCACCTTGTGCTTGGGGTTGATCTCGGTCTTTCAGGGACTATTTCCCCCCAAGCCCTGAAAGACCAACCTGAAACCCTAAACCCACGCCGAAGTATCCTCAACGGCAAGACCCCCGAGCCTCGTTTAGTCTTCTTAGGAACACAATAACCCTAATAAACCCTAACCCCTAAACCCTAAACCCTGAACCCTAAACCCTAAACCCATTTCATGCTAGTCATGATGGCGCTTTCAACTTCCAACACCCATAGAATTTAATTTTGTCGGGCGCCAACCCAAGTGGATGTTTCACCAAACTAGGAACTCCCGGATATACCCCCCAAAAAAGTCGTGCAACCCTTTTTTTGCCGGAACCCCCAAATGCCAAACTCTAACCCAATTTTCGGAACACCCCCCGCCCCCTCCAGGTGAACTGGGAGAATGTCATCTCCCCTCTGAGACAAATCTCGCCGGCGTGGACGTGCCTGCCGCCCGACCTGACACAGGGTTTGTATACCAGTGAGCAGGCGCGGGGTTCTTCAGGTGTGTTGTCCCTACATGGGTAGTGTGTCCTTCTTTGAAGAGTGCCGTGCTATGTAGGGGACCCATTAAGAGGGACCCCTGCTTTTTTTGCCGCACTGCGCGCCTGTGGCCGCAGGTCGACAAGTAACGGTGACGTAGCCGTTTCAGGCTGCTTGTGAATACAGACAAAGAAGAACCAATACGGTGGGAAGCCGTCAAAACCATCGAATTTGGGGGGCCAAGAGAGCATTCCGCTAGTGATAAGCCTTTCACGCCGTGCAACACAAGAGCCAGGAACCTTCTCACGGGTTTCGGGACTATATAGTAATCAGCTGCCTCTGGGCGCCGATGTGCGCAGTTGAGGCGCTGGAGGGCACCTCAATCCTCTCGCCGCCGTTGTGCCGGCATATCGGTTCCGTCCGGCTCTGCCTCTGCTGGGCCCGCGCGAAGTGTTTGCGAAGCAGCGTCGCACTTGGTGCGGCCAGCCTGCCGCTGGCCTGGCTGGACTTACCGCGGCAAGCGTATTAGAGAAGCGCTCCACCACGTGCCTAAGCTTCGCGGCGCAGGCCACCGGCACCTGTCCGCGTACAATCACTCGCAGTTGGAGCGATCAGATGGCTGCCACGAGGCCGCCCTGTAAGATATGACGTCTGAGAGTGTCCACAATCTGCTAGTGATATGGCCATGTGCAAATCGGGCACTGTGCTTGGCGGTGACCTGGCTCGCTCGGTTGTCCACATAGACATTTGATCACAGGCCTGCGTGAGTTTAAAGGGCTTGAAAAGGTTCCAGCCGGGTAGGGCGGGGCTGGAAGCACAGGCTTCGTGAGATTTTGGGCTTGAGACTGAAAAGCTAATCCCCTACCCAGCTTTAGATATTTGCGGCTTTAATTCTTTGAGCGTGACAGGTACAAACTAGCAGTTTCTCAGCCTTTCGATTCAGAATTCAGCTCAGACTCAAAACCATCAGGGTAGCAGACTCTGCTACGATGGTGATTCACAAGTCAAGTATAACCCTGAGGGTCCATGTACCTAAATAAGGAATACTTGAGCTTTAAAGTACTTCCTATATGGGACTTTGGGTCCCAAGTATGTAATAATGAGGTACATGAACCCTTAGGGTAAGATGTCCAGCGATTGAAGGTGAGAAAGTCGGAAGTGGAAAATGGTGGTACGTGCTCATCCTTCACCGCATCGAAAGGATTGTGTAGGACAAGTTTAGGGTTTAGGGTTTAGGGTTTAGGGATTAGGGTTTAGGGTTTAGGGTTTAGGGTTCAGGGTTTAGGGTAGACAACGCTGTCTTATCAAAGAGCATGGCTTTGAGAGATAGGTGCAGCTCAGAACTTTCCCCTCCGCCAGACAAGCCAGGCATTTTTTGCTGGAGCCGAGATGTGCAACCTCAAAGAAATAATCTTCTTTGTGGTGTTTTACAGTAACTTTAGATCTTTAGCTTTTTTGGGTTTATTGGGTTTCTTAATGGTGGCAGCGCCTCTTGCGCGCCGGGCGCGTTCGCTTGCTTCTGGGGAGGGGTGGGGGGGAGAGGGGAGGGGGGGGGGGGGGGGGGGGGTGGGGGGGGGGTGGGTAATTCTAAACCTGGTCCCGCTTCTCCTCAACATCAAACTCCCTAACCGTCCTTCTACAAGCCCGAAACTTCCCGAAACTTCAAGCTCCTCAAGAGTCTTTGTACAAGCCCGAAACTTCAAGCTCCTCAAGGTTAAACTGCAGCTCCTTCCATAGCCCGAAACCTGAAGCTCCCTAAGCTCATTCTTTCGGCCACAGAAGACATTGTGCAAGCCCCAAGCCTGAAGCTCCAAAACCATGAGCTGCAAATTCGGCTCTTCTGTCTTTCCAGGACAGTCCACCGTGCTTCTCCTTAGGCCTTAGATCCTGGGTAGTCATGGAGGTTGCCGAGGATCTCGTCCTTGGCTGGTCCTCTCGCATCTCTGATGCTTGGCGTCTGCGCTCGCACGGCCTCACTCTCCAGGACTCTTCTTCTTGCATGTCCGTCATGTTTTGGGGCGCTTTTCCGCCTTACTTGGTTTGTCTGCAGCCTTTTTTCTTCTCGACACTGAACCACTCCATGACGCCATGAGCCCGTTTCTTCCTGTGGCCTTGGCTGCGCTTTTGCTTCTTCGCCAGGGTCAGAGCCACGTCAGAGTTCTGCCTCGACCCTTGCTTGGCACCGGCTTTTGCACTTTCTCTTGCGATGAGTTGCAGGATCACCTTTTTGCCCCCTGCTTGCACATCACAGCAGACTCTTGCAATCTCTTTTTGAACTTGCAATTGAAGGAAGTCATGTTCGTTTGATTTCATTTCTTCTGCTTCAGGTAATGTGCTTGCCGTTGGGCCAGCCGGAGAAGTTTACACTGGACACAATGTTCAATGACAGTCGTCGAGGACCGTGGCTCCAAAGACTTGTCGCTGGCTTTGGGTTTTAGGACTTGTCGCTGGCTTTGGGTTTTAGTTGTGTGAAGGGTTTCGGCTTTCGGGTTTTTCTTGAGAGTGCCAGGAGGTCTACCCTGGAAGACGTTGGTACAGGTTGCTCCACAACTTGGCCAGATGGCCTGCCAGCTCCTGCTGGCCGGCTTGGTGACTGGAGCGGTTGCGGCGGAGGCGAAGAAACATGCACGGATGATATCTGCAAGGTTTGGAGACGCAAGCTTGTGGAGCATTCCGACCACCTTTTCGCAGTGGATTCCGGAAAGTATTTCTGACATGGACGTTGCCACGGAAGTCGCGCCAACCACGCCGCCTCAGAGAGCACGCTCTACTTTGTCAGCTGCCTCACCGTCTCCACGGACTTTGTCACGCTGGCTGACGACCGGTGCTCCTACTTCGCCACCAGGTTTCTGCCGTTTTGGGTTTCGGGTTTAGGTTTAGGGTTCTGGGCTTAGGCGTAGGATTACGGGGATTCATCCCGTCCAGGCGCTTCTGACACTCCTCCAACTCGCGCTTTCAAAACCTGGTATGGTCAGCAGACTGGCCTTTGCTTGAACCATGGTCTCAGCTCTGTGGTTCCTCTTTCCGACGACGAGGACGACGACTACCAGGACGAGGTGTCTGGGTTTACTTGCGTGGCCCCTAAACCCTTGAACCCTAAAAACCTTCAAGCCCTTCTTAGTTTTTTTTTCGCTCGGTCCTGTAGACGTAGGTCCCTGCAAGCTCGGGTCGTGGTGTGAAGCGACCGTTGTCCTCGCCAAGCGTGGCAGAGTCTTCCTGCACTGCTGAGCCTGCTCCTGCGCCAGAGTTTGCGTCTTCTGTTTCACAGGAGGACATCTGCTCTTTTTCAGAGGAGGAGATCCAGACTCCACCATCTCATGACCCTTTGCCACAGGAAGTGCCTCACCCACCTGTGCCACTGACCCACCAGTCAGGTCCAGTGGCTGCTCGCTTTGCGCAGGCAACCAAGTATGGCAGGTGCCCTCGTTGCAGGGTGCCAAGGCGCCCGGTCTGCCATTGGACAGGAGTCCATGCAGGTTTCGTTCTGCTGCGTTGCAGCCAGTGGTTTCATGTTGGCCCGAATGGAGCACGGGACTGTTGGCACTTTGTGAAGTACGAAGGCCCTTTCTCCCAGCTTCCAAAAGCTGTCCGGGACACAGTGTCTGAGGTTCGCAAGGACATACGCTGGCAGCTCCAGCACCCGCGCGTTGGCTAGTGGGAAAACTCTTTCGCTTGCAAGCTGCGGCTCTCACGTTCTGTAACTGACGCTGCATGTGTTTGCCGCTGTCGTGCATGCAGGACTTGGCGACAATCCGCTCTGCTACGGCTTGCTTAACGCAAGTTATACGAGGCATGGACGCAGACGTCGTGGCGGTGTTAGCACTCGTACTAGACATCTTGGAGACTTTGCTTCTCAGCGACGACTGGGGCATGCTGGAGCTTCATCAGGTTAGTTTTGCGCACAACGCCGCTCTGGATCCATCATTTCGTGTTCGAGTTCAGGCGCCTCAAACTGTCAGTACTGTTCTTTTGGAAACTCTACCCTACCTACCTCTACTATACATCCTAAACCTCAAACCCTAACCCTTCAGCCTTCACACAAGACCCTCAACCCTTAGCCCGACACCCTTTATGCCAAGGCCCTCAACCCTAAACCCTAAACTTACGGTTTGCGTTTTGCTTGCAAGGACCTTGCAGGCTCTGATTGGCGGTCTTTTGTCCAGCGTTTCGAAGCAGACCTCACTCGGTCACAAGACATTGTCACCAGAAACATGGCAGTCTTCGCGCCCGTCGAGGCACTTTCGCAGCTCTGGTTGCTTTGGGGCAACATAGTCGACGACTACATTCTCTTGTCAGCTGGACTCTTGTCCTTACCTGACACCTCGACGTGATGTGCCGCGCTAGCCCTTCTTTTCCCAGCGTGTTCCTTCCAAAATCTGTACAGCTGCGACTGCCCAGACACGCGGACAACTGAAAACCATCTTGCGCAACAAGATCTGTCTGTCTGTCTTGGTCCAGGACGGGGACGGCAACAGGACGGGAGGAGAAGGCAGGATCAGGAGTCCGGGCTTTGCATTCGGTTTCCTGGTTCTAAGGGAAGTGGCTCTATGCTAAGCCCCAGAGCCTCTACCCCCCGAGAACCCTAAACCCTAAACCCTGAACCCTAAACCCTAAATCTAAACCCTAAACCCTAAGCTCTTTCCCCTAAACCTAAACCCTAAACCCTACACCTCAACCCTAGGAAGAAAAACACTCCACCTGCCAGTTTTTTTGGCTTCGAGTAGTCCGTAGGGGAAGCAACCAGGCGACGGAGGTCGCCTCTTAGTTGCGGGGACAGAGCCATACTGTGATGGTATGCTCTTTGTGCGGATCGAAGAAGCACAACTTGCGCACATGTACTTTGCCGGGTGCAGCGCAGCATCGGAGCATGCACCGTGAGCTGCTGAAACTGAAAGGGGCTGTGCCAAATGCTCAAGCCGGGCGAAAACCGCGTAGGCTAGGTGCTCCTACCACAGGACGGTTCCAAGCACAGCGTTCTCTGCGATACAGTGGTTCTGGACGTGCGAAGCTGCGGAAGGCTGTAGCCAACAAGAAGCGTGCCAAGACAGTGGGACTGACTCAGACCTCTGACGGCCAGCTCCAAGCAGTCAAGGACTTGCGGCTTCTTGCCTATTCTCAGACTTCTTCGGTTTCGATTTCACTAACTTTTTTTGGTTTCCTTGCCGTAGGATTCTGTCCGGCTTGCTTTGCTTCCTCCACAGGCGAGACGGCTTCCTGCCAGCAAAGCCTCTGAAGTGCATGACTTGCAGAGGTCCAGTGGGCCAGATGCAGCTTCGCGCAAAGGGACACGTGTGGGTGCGCTGCATCGACACTGACTGTCGAGTAGCCAGGAATGTCCTTTCGGAGGCTTCCTGGTTGCCAGATGTCAGCAGGCAACCTTGGACACCCATGCAGTTGCAGGCAGCTTTACGCCTGAGCACTGCCGGTTTTGGGAAGCAGGCCTGGCCACTGTCGAATCCCTTAAGCCCCGTGCCTCCTCAAATCAAATTAGGGTTTACAGTTTAGGGTTTAGGTTTCAGGTTTCAGGTTTCAGGTTTGCGGTTTAGGGTTTAGGGTTTAGGGTTTGCGGTGTAGGGTTTAGGAAAAACGGTTTAGGGTTTAGGGTCTAGGGTTTAGGGTTTGCGGTGTAGGGTTTAGGGTTTAGGGTTTAGGAAAATCTTCTTTGCCTTGGACCCTAGACCTTTAGCCCTCAACCATGCAAACGGATTGTTGCAGGCATCGACTCCGTATGCCTTGGCTCGCAGTTTGGGCACGACGTACAAGCCAACTTCACGGTTTCTTGAAGCAGTGCGAAGCCTGGAGGCTGCAGCAAGTGAGAAGCTCAATGCACGCACGATGCTGGACAAGGCGGTCGAAGTAGATGGGACTTGTCTGCGCACCTTGCGGGTCTCCAGATGGTCAAAGACATATGCAAACTTGGTGCAAGAGTGGCAGGCGAAGCATGCGCACCAAGCATCGCCGGACTACTTCCTTCTGCACCTGCGTGCGCTGGGGGCCACGCAGCGCGGGACGCAGAAATGTGTCTTTGTTCCAGCTCCTTTGCGCTTAGTTCCTGCTGGCTCCGTGCCGCCGCCCGAGAGCTGCGAGGATGTTCTCTGCACACGTCTGCTCAAACGGATTCGCAGTCAGGACCGTGTTGAGGGTTTAGGGTTGAGAAATATAGGTTTGCAATGAACGGTTGAGCTTTGCGTGCTTCACCCTCTCAATGACAGGCAACGTGCTATGCCGATGGTGCGATGGCCTGGGATCGCGCAGCAGTCCGGCAAGGAAAACGAATGGCCTTCGTTCATGTGAAGCATAACAAGTCCATTTTCACTCGTGCTCTGCGCAGCAAGCCACGCAAAGGGGCTTCGAGCCTAGCCGGAACACAACAGATCGATCGTGTTTGGATGCATGTCAAGGCAAGCATCCCCAAGGGGATGCATAACAAAAAGAGCGACGGATGCCATCGCGAAGCGAATGCAGATCGCATCTGGAAGTACATAAGACAGTTTCAGTTCCGACGAATGCACACAGATGTGTTCACAGCTCTCTCCAAGCTGTGCCAAGCTGCCAACAGATGCAGCTGAACAAAGTTTCTCAGACACTCCGCAGCAAAATGTGCTTTTTGCCTAGGCGGGAACGTCATGGTCGCCCGAAAATAGACACTGTTACACACTTTCGGCCCCTGCAACATAGCAATTCTTAAGCAGACATGTGCGTTTTGCCTGGGTTTCAGCACATTCCACATTCTGGCCATGCCCAAAAACACACGGCGCGCTACAGGCGCTCCTACCTTCTTAATAAGGCAGCTAAAAGTTTAATTTTTTACTACCCTCCTAAGTGCAGCCAAGTCTTGAAGGGGCGGCTAGAAACAGTAACACCTTGCATTTCATAAGGATTGTTAATGTTCCTGAGATTCTGAAAATGCACCCATTGTCAAGAACAACTTCCTGAGCCTTCGGTGTTTTCACATTTTTGGCTGGTGCTTCACTTGGCTGACCCTCGTTTGCTTGATTTCGGGTCTTCAAAGTTTCAAAGTTTACCGTGATTTCTTGGGATGAATGCAGTTTAGAAGATGGCTGACTCTGACATGTACGACAATTACGAAAATGAAAGAATAGCTAATGATGGTCCGTGGCAGGCATTGATGGTATTAATGCTGCGGCCGGAAGAGAAGGAAAGAGCAATGACCGGATGGGTGTTTCAGTGCTTTGAACAGATTTGAAACGTAGCGCATGAAAAGGTAGACCCAGGTAGACATGCATGAGGTGAGGTGAGGTGAGGTGAGCGTCGAGCGCAAGGCCTAAAGGGCAAGCCCTAGCAACACAGCGAACAACAGCGAAACGAAAGAGGCAACAACAATTTGGCTGCATCCGGTAAGCAGTGTGCACTCAGGAGATGATTTTCGAAAACGTGTTTGAAAGGACTTTAGATCAGGCAAACTAAACACCCACTTTCGAGACCCCGGCTCGGGCAGGAATGTTAATTCCCAGTGCAACTTGATTCGTTCGCAGAGTCATAAGACGCAGTACGTAGAGGACTTCACTATAAGCTTTTAATAGGATGGTGGCCACTTAGTGTCACTTCGGGAGAATCTTCGAGACTTAAGAGCGGCGAGTTGTTTTGAGTTTGGTGCAACAATGTTTCTTTACGCTGATGATGTTTCGATCATCTCCCGCATGACTGCGCCCAGGTTCCTGTTTTATATCAGTTTCACGTATTTCGCTGTGCTCAATGTGGTGACAGGCAGGATGACGTCCCAGGGTTTGTAGTCGTCGTTGCGTTCAAAAGGCAGTGCCTCATGAGGAATTCACTTGTGGATGTATAAGACTACAAGAGAAGCGTCGGTTGTCTGGTGGTGTGTAGCTTGGGAAGCTTGACCATTTGAAATCACGGGAGGACAAGGGGGCAATACCTGACCTGATCACACTACCGACGTCCTAAGCTCTCAGCATGACCTTTTACATGTAGTCACTTCTCTAAAACATTGTTCTTTTGGGGTCCTGACTATAAGGCTATTTAGGGCACCCAAACAAGGACCACAGTTTCCAGAACTCGCCAAGTAGATCCTTTGGATGGTGTTCAAGCCGGGGGGGGGGGGGGGGGGGGATTGCTTAACCAACCTTGTAGTTCATAAATCCCAAGGGTCCATGCACCTATATGGTATATGCTTGTGCCCGAAAGCTGCTATATGGGAACCCCCTTGAAGGCCCAAGTATATACTATACATAGTTACATGGACCCTTAGGGAAAGCATCGTTTTGAGCAGGCATAGGGGAAGTACCAAGGCCCGTCCAAGGGGGCGCAAGCGTAGCTTGAGCAAACGTGACGCTGGCTATCAGAACACTGGCTGTGATAGGGTGCAAGCGATGCAGAGGTTTGTTGTTGCGACGTGTAGAAACCGCTTCAGATGGCACAAGCTCGCGAAACGCATCCCGCGTAATTCCTGCGGAGGCGTCTTCTGCCAGTCAGCCATCGTGTCTTGTTCACCACTGTTACGAGTGTTTGGAAGAACCTCCCAATCTTGCTGTCAAACTTCGTGCCAAGGCCGATAATGTAAACCCTAAACTCCAGACCCTAAACCCTAAACCCTACATGCACCTTGGGATGTCGGTCTTCAACCCCTCGACGGCCCGAAGCCTTGAACCTTGAATCTTGAAACCCGAAGCCCTGACCCCCAACCCTGAACCCTAAACCCCGGAATCCGAAGCCCAAAGTCTGACACCCTTCGAGCTGCAAACCCTAAACCCTAAACCCCTAAACCCTAAACCCCTAAACCCCTAAACCCTTTCCCCGAAACCCTAATCTGCGTGGGGAGGCGAAACCTGACCCCAAGACTCCAAACTTCAAAGTCTAAGCCACAAAGCATTCACCGATTGAGGGCTTAAAGGTTTCGGGTTTAAAGGTTGAGGGTTAAAAATGTTCAGGGCTTAAGGTTTTAGGGGTTTAGGGTTAAAGGGTTAAGGGGTCGAGGGTTAAAAGGTTTACCCCTAAACCCTACACCCTAAACCCTAAACCTCTAAACCGTGTTTTACGGTTTAGGCTCTTGGCGAGGTTGCCGGCTTCGGGAGGAGAGAGGCATTATTGCCAGAACTGGAGGATTCCGGCCAGGATTGTTCCAGACAGTTCCAGGATTAGCGTTTAGACTTTAGGGTCTAGATTTCAAGGTTTAGGCCCTAAACCCCAAACCCTAAACCCTAAACCCCAAACCCTAAACCCTAAACCCTAAACCCTCTACCCGAAGCCCATGTGGGGCTGCGAGGTCTCCCCAAAGCCTTGCGTTCAGGAAAGTGCTCAGAACGATCACGCGACCATGGTCCAGTCCATCCTCAAGAACAAGGAGTAGGGTTTAGGGTTTAGGGTTTAGGGTTTAGGGTTTAGGGTTTTAGGGTTTTAGGGTTTTAGGGTTTTAGGGTTTTAGGGTTTTAGGGTTCAGGATTCAGGGTTTAGGGTTTAGGGTTTAGGGTTTAGGGTGGAAACCCCCAGGAGATGCACATTGCGAAGATCCAGGCAGGGGCAAGGGGAGGCAGTTTCCCTAGATGTCTTGTCCCTACACCCTAAGCCCCACACCTCAAACCCTAAACCCTAAACCCTAAACCCCAAACCCTAAACCCTAGAATCCCTAAACCCTATCAGCCCTGAGCTCTTTCAAAGGCCCTAATGCTATACAAAGCAAGCCTACGCAGATGCATATGTACGCCCTAAATCCTAGAACCCTAAACCCTAAACCCTAAACCCTAAACGCTAAACGCTAAACCCTAAATCCCTAAACCCAAAACCCTAAACCCTAAACCGTGCTTTTGGTGGCCAACCTGTGGAAAACTGGGGTCCGTAGATGTGAAAGAATAGGGTGAAATGGGGAACGTGCCGGTGCAGAGCTGCCCTTATCCCCTTGATATGTGCACCTCTGTTCTCAGATACAGGTTGGTTGCTTAGGCCGAAGCCCTAAACCCTAAGCACCCTAAATCCGCAGCAAAGTTGAGAATTTGCGGTTTAAGCCTAAGCCCTAAATCCCTCAATCCAGCAGCAGTGACTGTGCAAGCGCTGGGGCTTTTGGGGGGAGTCTGGGTGTTTTGCTTCGCCGTTTTTCCAGTCAACCTCCCAACTCCTAAGCCCAGCGGTTGATAGGATGCTGCTGCCTGTATCCCCCGAACACACCCCAACCATCCCCAGAACCTGCGCGTGACCGGCAAGAGGCACTCTTCAACCAACTGGGGACCGAGAATACTGGTGCACCTCGGCGCAGATTGGGATCCAATGCCGCAGGGAGGGTTCAGGGTTTGCGGGGAGGGTTTAGGGGGTTGAGGGCTTGAGGGTTTGAGGGGCACCCCTCTATAGTTTCAAGTAGGGCTCTAGACTCTACATTGGGTTGTTCCAAACTGTCGTCTGCCCAGGATGAGGCCCAAAACTCGCTTCAGTGCAGCAGTATTTGGGCCTTCGTCTGGGGCGGGGGCAGTTTGACTGGAGGGGCCATAAGAAATTGTCCTCGGGATTGTTTAGGGCATTTCGGCTTTTTTTTTGGGCGCCAGGCGAACTCGGTGGCACTTAACGACGTTCAGGGTTTGGAGGTCGGGTTCTTGCATCCTAAGCTCTAAACCCTATACCCTAAACCCTAAACCCCAAACCCTAAACCCTGAACCGCAGCGCGCTCGCGAGCTTGCCACGGTTTCAGGGCAAGGGCCTAGGGTTCCGGGCATGGAGGAACGGCTGGCTCAACGAAACGTCAATGCCCTGCGTGCCAAAAAATCAGGGTTCAGTGCCAAAAAAACCCTAAACCCTAAACCCTAAACCCTACACCCTAAACCCTAAACCCTAAACCCTAAACCCTAAACCCTAAACCCTGAACCCTGAACCCTGAACCCTGAACCCTGAACCCTGAACCCTAGACAAATCCTAAAACCCTAAACCCCTAACCCCTGCAGGTCATCACCTTTAACAGCTTCACCGAGTGCCCTGGAGCGAACTGAGGCTGTCATGCGTAAACTGCAGCTTTCACATCCTCAAATCACAGACCCCTAAATCCTAAACCCTGATTCCTAAACCCTGAACCCTAAACCCGAAACCCTTAGCCCTAAATCCGACACCGTAATCCCCAATAACCCTGCAGTGCCCAAAATGTCAGGCATTCCCTTCATTTGCTTGCCACCTGCAACCAATGGACCCTAAGAGTTGAGATCATAGGTTTGGGGTTTAGGGTTTAAGGTTTAGGGTTTAGGGCAAGTTTAGGGTTTAGGGTTTGGGGTTTAGGGTTTAGGGATTGCAATCCCGAGAAGGTATGTAGGGTTCATGTGGGCGATAATTAGGGTCCTCTCTTCTGCAGGACCGAGTGTAGACGTCCATAGGTAGCTGTCACGGTTTAGGGTTTAGGGATTAGGGTTTAGGTCGTGCGCGTGTTCGCGGCGGACTTGGACGAAGAGATCCAGAAGCCAAAAAAAGTTGAACCCATTGCCTCGAGGGGCCACCCCCTGTAATCATGGCCCAACAACCTAATGATAATGCCTAAAGATCTCAAAACAAGTGCCCTCAAAGCCTTGTGGTAATCCGCTTGTGAGGAAACTT